GCGATCCGCCGCTGAAGTCGGCCGCCGGCTCCGGCTCGCCGCCGCCCGACGGCGCCGCCGCCGCCGCGACAAAGCCCATCACGGTGAGCGCAGTCAGCTGCTGATGCGGCGAGCTGCTGCTGCAGTCAGCTGTTGATGCAGTCAGCTGTTGCAGTCGGCTGCTCAATACTGGCGCGCCTTCGGACGCGTTGTTCAGGCGGGCCGACGATGATGTGCGTGCGTGCGTGCGTGCGTGCGTGCGTGCGTGCGTGCGTGCGTGCGTGCGTGCGTGCATGCTGCGTGCTCGCGTGCATTTAGTATCACGTCTCGACGACAGATAGTAATCGCGCATTTTATGGGGCAGTTATCGTTCAGGTTATATTTTGCTTGGCTTTCTTCGCGTTCTATTAATATAACAATGCAGTGTTCTTCGCATGATTCTAAACACCTTGTTGGCTCTGTTTGAGGGGATTTATTAAATAGATCAACTCAAGAATAAATTACCACCAAAATATGTCTCGTGAAGGACGACAAGGTAGTCTGAAGGATTGCGAAAAAAGTGTGTATGTGTGTGTGTGTGTGTTTTTTTTTTGTCTTGACAACCCACGGAGCCGACCTCGGAACACGTAGTCAACGCTGCGGCTGCCGTGTTTGGAGCATGACCTTAGAAATCGCCTCGCCGTTGTGTTTTCACGAGTAATTGCATTATAATGGTAGAATCAAGTTTTGTTTATAGACCAGTGACGGAGTATTTATGATCATGTCCAAGAACGGTGGCAGGAGCTGAAGGGATCCGGTAGGGATCCGGTAGGGATCTGGTGTTGACAGTGGTTTCTGGCATCGCGTTTTTTCCGACAATGCCCTAGTGTTGAGCTTAACAGCCCGATCCAATGTCGGGATGTAGACCTCAATGGTTTCTTGTTGCTGGACCAAGGGACAGTTGCCTCTGTCAGCCGATATCCTGAAGGAAAACTCTGACTCTTCGTGGGCGTCTGGTATTGAGCGGTGTGACTCAGTGGCTGGTAACGAGGCTCGTGTAGAGGCACGGTTCGTCACAAGCTCGTCACATGGCTCGCCATGCTCGCCACACAACTTGGCTCGTCACACGGCTCGTCACACGGCTTGTCACGCTCGTTACAAGCTCGTCACACGGCGTGTCACAAGTTCGTCAAAGGCTCGTCACCCGTTCGTCACATGATTCGTCACACGACTCGTCCGCAGTGCGGACGGCCCGCCGCGGTGTGACGGGAGGGAGCTGTGCCGGGGGGGGGGGGAGGGAGGGGTCGTGACGACCACTCGCTCTCGAGTACGGGCGGAGCGGCAGCAGCACCAGCAGCACCAGCAGCGACGGACAGTTAATTCGGGCGTTTTGCTGCATCACGGTGTGGTGTCCTGCTCTGTCGAACTTCGCCAGCGAGTTCCTGATGCATCAGGAGCGTCCCATGAGCGTGGCTTCGATCGACCATAGCTCCCCGTGTCCCTCCCCCTCGTCACGCCTGGTCGCAACACACGCCGTCGAGACCCCACCCCGGCACGACTCCGTTCCGTTCTTCATGACCGTTCCATTCTGTGTATTCATGACTCCGTTCCGTTTTTATGACCGTTCCATTCTATGCATTCACGACTCCGTTCCGTTATTTATGACTGTCCAATTCTGTGTATTCACGACTCCGTTCCGGCATTTATGATCGTTCCATTCTGTGTATTCACGACTCCGCTCCGTTATTCATGGCCGTTACATTCTGCGTTATTACGACTCCGTTCCGTTCTTCATGACCGTTACATTCTGTGTATTCACGACTCCTTCCGTTATTCATGACCGTTCCATTCTGTGAATTCACGACTCCGTTCTGTTATTCATACGGCGGTTGTAAACGGAGGACGCGGAAGCCCCGCTTTACGCAGCTGTTGTAACGGAGTCTGCGTGCCCAGCTGTGCGTCTACTTCACGCAGCGCCTCGTGCGAATGACGCGTGCCGGCTGTGTTTGTCCTCGCCGGTCGGGCATGACCTCCATCGGCGGCGAACCCTGCCGCACGTGCGCACCTGCTGACCAGCTGTGGGTGCGGCCCCTAGCCAGTGGGGCAGGCCGCGTCGTCTGCCGCTCGGTGCTCCGTTTTGGGCCCACCCCACCTGTCCGCTAGTGGGGCGGGCTCTGCCGTCTGCCGCTCGGTGCTCCGTTCCCCCTCCCCCTCCCCCACCTCGCCGCCAGTGGAGCGGGCCTTTTCGACTCCCGTGCAGTGCTTTCGGACTGAACCGGAGGCCGTCGTCTAGCGCCGTTGTCGTCCCTTCCTTCTGCCTCGTCACCGTTTGGCCGTGAATGCGGCCGGGGCCGGTTGTGGCTTTCCTTACGCCGCGTCGTATATGGGCCCGGTCAAGGAAGTTGCACGTTTGCACGCAAGAAAGTCGTGTGGGAAGTCGCGTGGGGTTGTTCAACAGACTGCGCCTGCGGTAGCTCTCGGTTGTGACATCGTCATCGGTTCCGCACGGTGACCGCGGTGAGATCGGCGCCCTCCGCGCTTTGTCGTACGCCGTCTGCCTTGCGTGGGGTATGGGACTGCGCGCTGTGCGCGGACAGGTGGCCCGGTGGGCGTGGCTGCTCCCCAGGGGCGGCCCCCCCAGACGGGCCCGTTCGTGACCGGTTTTGAGATAGCTGGAAGGGGCTCTCGATGTCTTTCACCGTCGTTCAAGTGTCGCCGTATGGTTTGTCGCGTCTTTTTCTTCTTTGAGGGACGTAACTTTTCCCGATTTGCGGGTGTGGGGACAGACTTAACAATGTTATCGTTTCAGACGCGTTGTCATCAGTGAGCACATAGAACGTAGTGCGCACACGGAGTTCGGAAATTATTTTTTTCCGGCGTGCTGGATCGTTTACAGCAGTTTCGGGTCCGTGCGGATGAGACAGGAGCCACGTCGATACCAGGCTCGAGAGCCATCTCCAGTCTGTCGCGAGCTCCTCCGGCAGTGGTGCTGGCGCCAGAGCCGGGCTGCGGGCTGGATGTGCTGAACTGAGACAGGGCTTCCATCGACTGGCGCGGGCCGGTGCCGCGCGGCGGCCGCTGATGCCGGCGTGGTCGTCGGACGCCGCGCCGGTCGCCCGCGCCCCTCGCCCCCCCCCCCCCTCACGCCCAGCAGCCGGCGGCCGGGCGGGGCGGCGCGGCCGGCGCCGGCAGCAGCGGCTGAATCATCGTGACGCGTCCGACCCCGGGTCCGCCGGCGGCGCGCCGCGCCAGCCGCCGCACCGCCGGTCGGGAGCGGAGGTGACGGCGCGGCCGGCGTAAGCCGCGCCGTCAGCGATCCAGTGCGGGGCAGCGCGGGCCAGCGCGGCCCGCGGCGCCCTCCCCGGCTGGCGCGCGGCCTTGGCGACGTGTGCTCGACCCGAGCGGCGGCGGCGGCGGCGGCCTCACCGGGGCGTCAGGCTCAGCTGGGCGGTCGGTTCCGGCCGCCCTGTCCGAGGGGGACGTGTCGCGCTGACCCCTGCGACGTACCCGTCACGCGGACCCCCGTGACGCACCCGTCATGTCCGATGACCTGTGCAGTGCTCTGGCATCAGGGCTGGGGAGCAGCGCGCTCTGTTTGTCACAGAGCGGCCTGAAATGCTGCCGAAGCGTATTCACAGGCGTGGTTAGTTGTGCCAGAATGGCATTGTGCAGCACAAGAGAAGGAAAGGAAAGGAAGGAAGAAAGGGTAACACATAGCTATGTCTTCGTGCATTCAGTGTGTGTGTATGTGGTCATACTGGGGTGTCAGCCAGGTGACACATCGGGGCATGTCTTTGTGCGGACAGCCGCCGACAGCATGGTCGGAACTTCAAAGACGATGATGCGGGAACCGTGCGGTCCCGTTCAGCCCTTCACTGCCACGTCATAGGCGCCATGTTAGTTTAGTGTACGTTTTGAGCTTCAGTCACAGCCCCAGCTGGCAGAACAGGTTCACAGCCGTTGTGGTCAGTGACGACGACATTTCGGCTCTGATTCTGGGGATCCGAGGTCAGCTTGGAGCCGTGGATCTCTGGTCTGATCTGGAGTCGAGGATCTCTGCTCTGATCATGTGGATCTTAGGTCTGCTCGGAGTCGGGATCTCTGGTCTAATCTGGAGTCGAGGATCTCTGCTCTTGATCATGTGGATCTTGGTCTGCTTCGGAGTCGGGCATCTCTGGTCTGATCTGGAGTGGTCCGATCTGGAGTCGAGGATCTCTGCTCTGATAGTGGAAGCTTAGGTCTGCTTCAGAGTCGGAATCTCTGGTCTGATCTGGATCGAGGATCTCTGCTCGGTCATGTGGATCTTAGGTCTGCTTCGGATTCGGGCATCTCCGGTCTGATCTGGAGTGGTCTGATCTGGAGTCGAGGATCTCTGCTCTGATCATGTGGATCTTAGGTCTGCTTCGGAGTCGGGCATCTCTGGTCTGATCTGGAGTGGTCTAATCTGGAGTCGACTATCTCTGCTCGGATAGTGGAGCTTAGGTCTGCTTCAGAGTCGGGTATCTCTGGTTCTGATCTGGAGTGGTCTGATCTGGAGTCGAGGAGTTGTGCTCGTGTCATGTGGAGCTTAGGTCTGCTTCGTACTCGAGCATTTCAGGTTCTGATCTGGAATCCAGGGATCTTTGGTATGATCCGGCGGCGGGGATCTCTGGTATTATCCTGAGTTTAGGATCTGTGGTATGACCCGCAGCCACGGATCTCGGATAACCCGGATCACGGATAACCGGGTCCGCGGTGGGTCCTATTGGTGACGAAGCCTGGTTGGGAGGACTGTTTGTGTTACCCACGTGTCTGGCTGTTGCCATCGGTCATCCCAATTCTGAAAAGCGTGATCGATTGTCATCCGGTGATTGAATGGTTGTCTGTGTGTCATGTGTGAATGGCCCGTACATTTCGGTTATTAAGTCATTCGGTATTTATACATTTGTTCGGTGCATGACATTTCATGGAGGCATCCATAGTCGCACGACTGAGTCCCAATGGGCGCGGCCGAAATCAGTAATTCCAGAGTCGTTTGCTTGTCGTTCCATCATTGCTCCTTGTCTCGAGACGTGGTTACTGGGCCGCTTTGTATTTGGAGAAGGAACCACATGCCCAACTATTGGGATCGATGTAAAATCGGAGGACGTTTCAGGATTTGTGATTATGTTCGTGCTTCTACACCAGGCTTATGTATTACATGAGACTCGCACAGTTGAATTAGACTCGTACATTTGCGTCAGACTCGTGCATTTACGTCATATTCGTACATTCACATGAGACTTGTGCATTTACATCATATCTGTATATTTGTATCAGGCCCGTACCTTTACATCAGACTCATGCATTTAGACTCGTACATTTACACCAGACTCATACATTTAGACTCGCACATTTACATCAGACTCGTGCATTCACACCAGACTCGTACATTGACCCATTTACTCGATTTATTGAGTTTTACATCGTCATGCTCTCTGCGTCAGAGCAGGCAGAGTAGCATGTTCACGCGAGTAAAACCGCTGCCAACGCTTGCCCATGCTGCGTCGCCCGTTCGAAGACGGGCCTCGTCAGTCAACCTTTCGAACCTGGTAACCCGTCCCTACTGATCGAACGCGGCCGTGGGAGTAGTCATGAGGCTGGGATCCCGCACCGCTCCAGCAGGCTTCTCCGGATGTCCGGGTGTCGCTCCAGCAGGCTTCTCCGGATGTCCGGGTGTCGCTCCAGCAGGGTTCTCCGTATGTCCGGGTGTCGCTCCAGCAGGCTTCTCCGGATGTCCGGGTGTCGCTCCAGCAGGCTTCTCCGTATGTCCGGGTGTCGCTCCAGCAGGCTTCTCCGGATGTCCGGGTGTCGCTCCAGCAGGGTTCTCCGTATGTCCGGGTGTCGCTCCAGCAGGCTTCTCCGGATGTCCGGGTGTCGCTCCAGCAGGGTTCTCCGTATGTCCGGGTGTCGCTCCAGCAGGCTTCTCCGGATGTCCGGGTGTCGCTCCAGCAGGGTTCTCCGTATGTACGGGTGTCGCTCCAGCAGACTTCTCCGTATGTCCGGGTGTCGCTCCAGCAGGCTTCTCCGGATGTCCGGTTGTCGCTCCAGCAGGCTTCTCCGTATGTCCGGATGTCGCTCCAGCAGACTTCTCCGTATGTCCGGGTGTCGCTCCAGCAGGCTTCTCCGGATGTCCGGTTGTCGCTCCGGCAGGCTTCTCCGGATGTCTGGGCGGGGCCTCGCCTTTGTTTTCCACCTGCCGGATGCGGGGGGGCCGCCACCTTGACGCCGCGTTGTGCCGCGGCGGGATGGTATCGTCGCGGATGCGGCGCACTTAGCAAAACCGAAAACCAAAGCCGTGGGAAATAATGTGCGACGGTCGATCCAGGAGTCGAGTAAGGTAGGTGGTCGAGGGATAAACCGGGGTCCGATGCATGCCACTCCGAAATTCACTGTGGTAGCGAGAGTTGTCCGATTCTTAGTTCCAACTAGCTGCCTTGTCCGTACTCAAACGAACATCGAGATTTTGTGCTCGCATGTAAGAAGACAAATCAGAATACGCAGGAAGACCCCAGCGTTAGCCCAGGTCCGCACCAGCCTGTTCCTGTACTAGTGTCAACATAATGTCTTATGGACAGTTCAATATCCTTACGTCTCTCTGGTTGGTGGTGTGATGAGGGTCGGAGACGGAGGCGCTCCAGCCCGTGCCAGCTCGCTTTGAGGGCGTGTTAGTGACGGTACGGGCGTGCGCGTGATGGCCTGCACTCGGCGCCGCTGACTTCCTGGCGTTTTTTTTCAGATGGAGACGATCCTCAGTTCGAGATGGACATGTGAGCGGTGGAACCGACCTTGGCTCGCCCCGGAGCCGGCGCCGCGCCGCGCCGCCGCGCGACGTCCACCTGCGCGGCGCATCTCTGCCTGGCGGCGGGAACCTGTGGGTTGTGCTCGTGGCTCGCCAGGGCTGTGGAATCCAACGAGAGCGAACGAATTTGAGCGTCTCGGGCTTTTGCTTCGCCGAATGTGCGGCCTATGAAAACGGGTTAGGAATGATTTAGCTCAAATTGTTCACTTAACAATGATAAACGATGTATTGGTTTGATGTTTTGGAGTCATTTGAGTGGGGCTGATTTTGTGGCGCTACGAATTGCCGGTGCGACTGCTCGTACTGCGAATACTGCTCTCAAGACGTGCTTCCCTGGGCGGTGCGCTGGCGTGTCAGTCGTGCTGCGTTCTGTTTAAAACATAATCATTTTCCGAGGAAGCATCGTATTTCTTTTTGCCGGCCGAGTGCTGCTGACCACGCGGCATGACACTGATTTGCATGCCGCAGTCTTCCGACACGTTCGGCCTGAGTGGTGTCGTCCTGACGCTGCGCCGCGCTGTTCCGCCAGCTTCTCTGTGACACATCAGTGTTCAGTGGACCCAGTTTCAGTGTGTTGACGTTTTCGGTTTGGTTCCTCTGTTCTGGCTGGTAGCCGGTTTCTCTGTAGTGTTGGGGCCGGGCTCGTCGGGATTCGGCGCCGGCCGCTGCTGTCGCCGGCGCGCCTGCGAGAGCGTGCTGTTCCTGCCGGCGCCGGCTGGCCCCAGCTCAGCCGGTGGCCGTCGGCGGTCGGTGTCGGGGCAGGCGGGTGTCGGCGCCGGTGTCGGGGCAGGTGGGTGTCGGCGTCGGTGTCGGGGCGGGGGGCAGGCGGGTGTCGGCTCGGCCCGGCCCGCCGCCCTACTCCGTAGCGGTCGGCCGCCGCCGCCGTGTGGTGCTGTCCGCCGGTCCCAGCCGGTTTGAAATATACGACCGTCTGGCGCGCGCTGCGTTTAGGGCACCTCCGGCCCGCGGATCGGGCAAGGAAGTTGGGTCTGGGGGCGGCCGTCGGTCCCTGTCACTCTGGGCGTGATGACCACCCGGTCTGGGCTTTGATAAACCCATTGCACGAGCCATTCTCCGGTGATGTCTCCGCGCCCGCATCGTGTCGTGATATGCGATAAAAGCGAGCATCTCCTACGCGTATTTCCGAAATGTTGTTTAGTTTGCTTCTGGCGCCCCTGTATTTGGTGTGCTTAGTTGAATTTTGAAATTACTGGCCTTGCGGTAAGTGCCTTGACCTCGCATTTGATACCAGCTGACATTGCACAGACACACACACACACACACCACACACACACACACACACACACGCACGCACCGCACGCACGCACGCACGCACGCACGCACGCACGCACGCACGTAGCTATTACGTGCCATTTGGTGGAGCGATAAAAAACGACGGGAAAACACGGTGAGAAAAAACAACGGAAGGTGATGCGGGGATAAGACTGTACCAACCACACGCGTACATATTCTGTACCGAAAAAACCCCATTTCCCAAACAATGAACACATCCACCTTTTGTTCACCCGGCGGAAGTGACGTGAAAGGATGATATGTGTTTGCTTGTTGTTGCCTCACAGTACTTTTACATGTCAGTGCAATGTCAAAATTTGTCCAGACGCCAGTCCTGTCAGGATGACGCGCCCCATTACCCGCTTCGCTGTGCCCCGCCCCTCCCCCCCCCCATCCCTCTCCATGGCCATCGCAGGCGGTTTTATCGTGCGAGGTGGCAAAAAATGCACATTCGCCCGCGATGGCAACGGTCCCTCTCGTGATGACGTCTGTTGATTCGCTTCTACCTTGTTCCTGTACTTAGCTGAACAGTCGTATGTGACGCAGTGCGCGTTACACAGGCTACAGTGTCTTGAGATGATGTGGGGCGCAAGATGGAGTAGAATAGTTCGTACTGGACCGTTCATGTGATGGGAAAGTCATACAAAAAGTTAGGTTTTGTGAACCCAGGTCAATGGCGAAAGGGTGTGCGCTGCGCATTATCCCAGTCAAAGCGTTGGGAAGAGTCCCACGCCAAACCGCCGGTATATGACCCCGGCAGAGTACGGCTGCGTCGCAGGATGAGAGACAAAGAACTCAAAGACGCGATTTTCGTGGTTTTATTGGCGCGTTGTTCCAAAACCGTGCAATAGTGGCGCTTTGAACGCGAGGGCCCAGGCTTAATCCCCGCAATCAGGCTAATCCCGCAATCAGGGCTTAATCCCCCGCCGCAATCGGGGCTTAATCCCCGCCGCAATCGGGGCTTGATCCCCGCCGCAATCTGGGCTTAATCCCGCCGCAATCGGGGCTGAAGCACTCACTGCCTTCTCATCGATGGCTTCAACATGTCTCTCCACAAAAGCAGGGATGAGTGGCGCTTTCGCTGGTTAAGAACCGCATCGCATGACGTCTCGTGGGACGTAACACGCGGGGAAAGGACGAAGCGGGAGAGATGAACTGCTGTGGCCGGCAACTGGCGTCTCACACGCGCCCACGTTCCCCATGGCGACGTTGTTGTAGCGTCGGTCGCGCGGCCTCAGCTGATGGTCAGCCAGACCTTGAGGCGAAGAGACTGCACGCCATTTCTGAAACGCAGGCCAGCATGGCCGAGTAAGGGCCGCTGGACAGCTTTGTGTCCCCCTCCCCCCCCCCCCCACTGCAACGTACGTACAGGTGAAGCTGGGTTTTACGTGCACGTTAATTCCCACGCGCAGGAGGTTCATCACAATGGGGACATGTGGGTCGTATCCTCCAGGCAGGTACAAGATCATGCAACAGGGGTGGGAAGGGCAATGAGACTATGCTATTCCGCGAAGTGTCAGTGAAGTTAAAGCACTAGTCCGTCGTGATCGAAGCTATGCGCTGGAAAGCGACATGAATGACGAAAGCCACCGTAACGCAGCCGTCCATGAAATGCATGGACGAGCAACCCTAATGAGCGAAAATCGCATTGTCGCTCATTAGGGTTGCAAAAGTCGCATTGCTGCTCAAGCATCTGCCACGTTTCATGAAAAATACCCGGTTTCAAAGAGGACAGGAAAGCGGCATCTGAGGCCCTGGCAACGGCAGTTTTTTATTACATATTTCATATTTTATATTATTTCAGATTTTTCGCCGTTTATTATATATTATTATCATATGTTTTGCCGTTCATATCTCACGAGTGCCTTTTTTATTCAATTTCATATTATTTCGTACATATTTCCGCGCAGCGTTTCTGTTACGTACGCCGTATTTCATTACGTAAGATTCGGAGAACCATTGCGACCGAACGCCTGCTGAGGCGCCCACCAGATGGACCCCTGTAGGTGTACGCTCACATCTGGAGGAGCCGGTAGAGTTTCCCCCCGCCTGCTCCAGGGTATACCGGGCCTCTCCCAACACGTAGCGCCGCTTACACCAGACGTCACACACGCACACGCACACGCACACGCACACGCACGCACGCACACACGCACGCACGCACGCAAGCACACACACACGCAAGCACCACGCACGCACGCACGCACGCACGCACGCACGCACCACACACGCGCACGACCACGCACACACACGCGCACGCACGCACGCACGCACACGCACGCACGCACCACGCACACGCACCACACACACACACACCACACACACACACACGCGCGCGCACACGCACACGCACACGCACGCGCATACGCACCTGTCGCACGCTGCCCGGCTGCTTGCAGAAGATTATCACCGCGGAAATGACAACCACCAGCAGCGTGATGATGAAAGCCGCTAGTTGAATCAGGTCATGGTTATATGTGGAAAGGGTGAAGAACCACGCGATCAGCATCACCTGTGAAAGAGAGGTCTTGCCGTAAGGACATGCCAAGAAACACACACGTTCATCGTCAAAAATTCGGTCCGGACGGAGACGTTGACGGAAATGTGAATGTAAAAGACTCACGACGACTACTACGCAGATCAGCTTAACAAACGAGGGCAAAGATCACAGGCAGAGTTTAAGGAAACAGGGAGAGTGATCGCGATCTTTGCGCGATGCAGAAACATCCCTTATTGTTGATGGGAAGGAAGCACGAGGGGGAAACGTATCTGGCGATAGAATGCGTGCGTCTGGTGATACAAGGCTTGGTTCAAATATGCCCACACGGCGGCATCATTTCAAGCGAACAGGTCGTTCACCCATCGGCACATGCTGCATAAAAGGGCACTTGGCACGTTTGCGCAGCAAGGACATTTAGCACATGTACATAGCAGCTGGGATTAAAACTCGAGCTCTGAGGCCGAACTTCGAAACACCGCTGATCTTACGGCTTACTGATGTCATCACCAACGACTATCTACCAGCTTCCCTGGCATCGCACAACAGGTCGAGGCTACAGGTCGAGGCTAACCACGCACAACAGGTCGAGGCTAACGATGTGGCTAACAGAGGCTAACACGCTAACGATGTGGCTAACGAGGCTAACACGCACACAGTGGAATGCAAACGCGGCGTCGGTGTTTTGTAGAACTCGTGTAAGACCCGTGGTACTTTTAAGCAGGGGCTTGGGCCGAAGCTGCAGTGTGGTGCCTTCAATCTGTGTGTGTTAACGCAACTCGGTTCTTTGCTGGTTTTGGAGGAGCAACGCCGATGCATCTGCCGATTTTAGGACTCTGATTGCGCATTCATCATCATTTTAGAATGTTCCCCACGCTGGTGATCGTCTAAAAGCAATAGCACGGCATAATATGTTGATCGGATTTCTCTGCCATCAGCAGCCTCCAGATTGCATAAGGAGGCTGGGAATCGCTGTTCTTTGCGTCACTTCCCTTGCCACTTTGTACTGTTTACGTTATTTCCCATTCCTATACCAACACCCCGTGCCTGTTTGGGACAGGGGGACCAGAACATGGACCTGGAGGTCATATCATACCCAGTGCCTGTCACACACCGTACAGCAGGCCGTGCGACCTACCTCCGTCCAACAGCAAGGCCTCTTTACCGCACTTTACGGAACCCGGTGGCGCAGCTAGCCAGCCCAGAGCGTTGCCCGCCGCAGAGGAGCGCTGAGCGCTGCCCGCCACAAAGAGCGCTGAGCGCTGCCCGCCGCAGAGGAGCACTGAGCGCTGCCCGCCGCAGAGGAGCGCTGAGCGCTGCCCGCCGCAGAGGAGCGCTGAGGGCTGCCCGCCGCAGAGGAGCGCTGAGCGCTGCCCGCCACAGAGGAGCGCTGAGCGCTGCCCGCCACAGAGGAGCGCTGAGCGCTGCCCGCCACAGAGGAGCGCTGAGCGCTGCCCGCCACAGAGGAGCGCTGAGCGCTGCCCCCGCAGAGGAGCGCTGAGCGTTGCCCGCCGCAGAGGAGCACTGAGCGCTGCCGCCGCAGAGGAGCGCTGAGCGCCCCCGCCGCAGAGGAGCACTGAGCGCTGCCCGCCGCAGAGGAGCGCTGAGCGCTGCCCGCCGCAGATGAGCGCTAGCGCTGCCGCGCGAGGAGCGCTGAGCGCTGCCCGCCGCAGAGGAGCGCTGAGCGCCGAGACTTACGAAGAGAAGTAGCGGTGTGACGACCGCCCAGAAGATGAGGGGGTAGGGGCAGCAGCAGCAGCCCTGCATGGCGGCCCAGTTGGCCTGGAAGCGCATGCCGCCGTACATCCAGCCCACCGCCACACACTGCAGCAGACTGAGCAGCGCCATCAAGCCGTAGCTGCCACAGAAGCTGCTCAACTGGCCAATGGATTGCATGGCGCCCTGGCGACAGACAGCAGCGTTAGAGAGAATGATGTTACGAACGGCATGGTATCAAATGATGCCTCAAAGATGATGATGATTGGGGTTTTAGGGCGCGCCGACTCCTGGGGCCGTTTTGCGTTCAGGTTGAATGCCTCGAAGGAGTGAGAGCTACCCCCGCTGTCATAGGCAGGCGACGCCATGTAGCCTCAGCAGCTGAGTGCGTCGTGAAGCCCCAGTGACACACATGACACGCACACACACACGAACGATGCCCACTTGGACACCCGTCCTGTCGCCATCATAAACTTACAGCAATGAGTCGGGGCGTCTGTCCGCGACTGTGCGCAACCTAGGCGACACGCCCTAGCGTCTGAATGTTTTGGCACGAAAATTCTCGCCGGAATAAGGGAATTTCGGCGCGCTTGCATCATGATTCACATGTTCGGTTTCTGTGCGCCTGATCGCCATCTCAGTTCTCATCCACTGAGGCGTTCTCGTGGCGGAAAAATATAGCGTTTTGTCCTCCTCTAATTTATGGCGCCGGAGACTGGAACGAGTCAGAGGCTGCGACATTACATACATCGGGTGAATTATTTGCCTCGAATATGCTTCTTAGCGCGGTGCAGAACGATAGCCCGGAGATAAAGTAGGGCACAGCGAATACGCTTCTTACCACGGTGCAGAACGATAGGCCGCAGATAAACCAGGGCACAGCGAAAACGCCTAGCAGGACCGGCTTCCTGCGCAGCACGCGAAACCTGAAACAAACCAATGCATGCCCTCCATTTGCTGCTACCACTGGGAACTGCATGCTTCTACAGGCATCGTAATACTTCACTTTATTCTTAACATGAACTCAAAGTATCAGGTAAATACCGGACCTCAAATAAAGATATAAATTAGCAACTTTGGGATAGCCCTCCCCATTTTCTTGCAGTTTTTTTGTTTCGTTTTACATTTCGCTATGATGTAATCCACTCATCATATTATGTACTGCTTCATGTCCATAATCGAAAATAAAAGTGAAACATCAAGCAAACAACATTCCAGCCAACTCGATTTGCTGAGATTTTTTCGGGGCTGTCGAAAGATGGCGTGACGTTCGCGGCGCAGCAGGCGGAATGGTGCCGCTATCCCGCTCCAGTCACGGAGTCTGCAGAGGCGCGGCACATCGCAGGCCCCGGCCGTCGCTGTGTGACTGTTCAGGCGGACTCCCGAGGCTGGGGCGGCTCCCCTTCCCCGGGACTCCCGAGGCTGGGCGGACTTCCCTCCCTCTGGCGGACTCTTGAAGCTGGGGGCGGAC